GAATTCTGGGAGTTGAAGTCCACACCTCTTAAAGTTCCCAAGGTTGAGAAACACTGCTCTAAATTATAACTAAACAAACCCTCCCTTGGTTCAGTGTGTAAACCAGGTCGCTCTAAAACTTTGAGCCTGATGGAAATATTCCAAGGATTATATAGCCTAGATCTCAGTGTCTCCCAAACTTGGCCCATTTGGGAGTTGAAGTTCACACATCTTAAAGTCGCCAAGGTTGGGAAACTCTGGCCTAGTTGGTTAAAAAGTGGGAAAAAATTAGAAGGCAATGGGAATGAACTAGATGCTTCTATCTGTGAGTCACCTAATTTGCATTTGCTGCAAGCAGAACTGTATTTTAAAAACAACAACAACAACAACAACAACAGGTAGATGCTTTTTTTAACAGCTTAGCTTAGTTTGATGTGTCTGCTTAGTGGTGTGTCATTGCACAGGTATGGTAAAGTGGGGTGGGGGAAACCTTAGAAATGCTTCCTAATGTTGCTTGGGTGCACACCTGTCCATTCTAGCTAAATCCCAGGCTCTTAAGTTTCCCCTTTCGAAGGCCCAGGCATGGATTCTCTTCTGGACCCACTTCATAGATAATCATAGCAGGGATCACAGTAAAGACAGATGATTTAATGTAGGCAGGTGGAAGTAAGGCCGATAATTTTATAAGCAAGGATCTGTCCTGTTTGTGAAAACCTGCCTTCCTAACGAGGTGCATGTGTTCAACTCCCAGAACTCTTAGCAGCTGTCATGCTGGCTAGGGGATTCTGGGAATTGAAGGCCTATATCTGCAGGGCACCCAGTCAGAAAAGGCTGGTGGAAGGCTTAATTTAGGAAGAGAAGCCATGGGCCCTAGGGTTGAATGCAGTATATAGCCTAATTTTCAAAAGTTTGCTTAAAATTACTGGAAGAGCAGTGGTGGATATTCGGAGGGGGAAGGTGAAAAGGGGGCAAAAGAGAGAGTGAGAGAGAAGCTGGCTTCACATCTCCCTCCTTCTCAGCCTTGACAACTCCCAGATGTGTTGACTTCAATTCCCAGAATTCTTAGCCGTGTCCAAGCTGGCCAGGGAGTTCTGAGAATCAAAACCTACACATCTGGAAGTCCCCAAAGTTAGGAAATACTGCTCTAACCATCATCCTTTGGCCTGGATTTGACTTCACATATTCTGCAAACTCGGCCAGGGTGGTTCGCAACCCACACGTTAAGCTTCCGCAGGGCGTGAATCCAGCCCCTCTTTCAGCCTTGAAGTCCAACCTCACAGGGTTGCTGTTCTGCGGATTAAATGGGAGGAAGGAAGGGTTGAATCTGGTATATCGCACTAGGTAAAAGAATAAGCTTGAAACACAACATAGTAATTTTTCTATGACCTAACTGATGTTTCTCTTAGGGGCATTGTTTAAATTTGCAGCTGGAGTTGAGAACCAAAATTACATACAGAAGCCCCCAAGTGGCGTCAGATTAGGTTCTTTTGGAAGCAACTTGAGATCTGTAAACATTGATGAATTGCTTGCTTTTGCTGAATTTCGCTCCCCAACTTTCCTGTCGTATCAGTCCATTGGAACCGATTTTGCTGGGGGGGGTGTGTGTGTGTGATGGTGATTAGTACCGCTTCATCTCATCACCTTCATGCACGTCAAATCTAATCCATGATGTGAACTAAATCTACTCCTTTCGTATGACTTGTGTACCTGTGTGACCGCAGGTTATTTCCTCACTGAGCAAGGGGCTGGATTGAGTGGCCTGAAAGTTTTCTGTGTTTTTTTCCTGAGAATGCAAAAGTTGCTATTGTTTTACAATCTGAATCAAGCCTGCTCTCCTCTTTATTATACAGAGGTACTCATCGTGAAATTTAATTTTCAGAGGAATTTAGTAAAGGGATATATGAAATAAAGGTGCATAATAAAAGGGGAGTAGTCCAGTAGTATTTTGCAGGCAAGATGTCAAAGGCTGGCTAGAACAGGACACACGTGGGTGTACGCCTAGTGGCACGCACATTATTTGGGTTCAGTTCCAAGGGTTGCTTGGGAGCACAAACATAGTTCTTCTCTGCGACCCTTTAAAGTAGCTGCATTCCAAATCAATGCAATTTTTCAGACACAAGGAGAGGCAGATGGTGCATATAGATATGTGGAATAGACAACCGATAAAAATATGTCCCTGCCAAGGAATTTGTTCAGGATCGAGTAGATAAAAGTCACGCAAGATTCCATGTAGGGATAGCAATGAAAGAGCATTTGGTCAAGACCCTCGGGAGTTACCCCATGAGGCGTACACGTTGGGGGAATATTTTTGCAACCCCCCAACAGAATGGCAGAAAGTGGAGGGAAGGCAACCTGGGCTGGATAAAATTTCAGGACTGGGGTCGAGAAGAGGCCGGAGACTGGCACGTACCCGTCTGCTGCGAGGCTGGGAACTGGACTTAGGTGGCTTTGAAGTTCAGTGTCCTGAATTTGCAGCTTCTGGTATTTTTTTCCACCTATGGCCAGGTTTAAGCATTGCACCCTAGTGGGTCTGGCCAAGTGAAACTGAGTAGATTAAGTATCCCGTCTTTCACTTTCCATTGCGGTCACTGACTTATTTATTTATTTATTCATTCATTCATTCATTCATTCATTCATCAAATTTCTCACCGCCCATCTCTGGGCCGTTTGCAAGAAGATAAAAATGCATTGAAATATAACATAAAAACAATCCTAAAAAGAAATAAACTCCAAGAAGATAGAAAATTGGCAAGTAATTCCAGGGAGCATCATCAGGGGGATAACCACCCCCGGGGGCAGGCAGAGCCCATATCACCCCATGCACACTGACAGAGCCAGGTCTTTAAATGGGACCCGGGAGGGTAGGTTGTTTAGTGCAAAGCACAGACTCTCGTCGTCGTCATCATCATCATCATCATCGTAATTTATATGGTACCCAAGACCCAGCGACTCTGGGCGGTTGCTCCGCCTGTTGCTCATCCCATTGTTTTTAGTTCTTTGATTGATATCCCATTTTCCCTCGTTTCTCCAAATTTCCTCCCCATGTCCCCCACCTCCCCCGTGACAATCTTGCAAGCAGAGTGACCGCCCAGGAGAGACAGGGACCAGTCCAAAGTCCCCCAGGGATTTTCCACGGCTAGTTGGGACTAGAACTAGGTGGGTCTCCCCAGTCCAAATGCAACAACAACCCTAAGAGATAGACTGGGAATTCTGGGAGTTGAAGTCCATGCATCTTAAAGTTGCTAAGGTGGAGAGCCTGGAGGGAGAGCCAAGTTTGTAGGGTTCTTTTAAACATGGTCAAATGGGGGCCAGATGGATCTTAGGGGGGAGGTCGAAGGATAGCTTGAAAGATGTGAGGACTTCCCACTTAATCCCTGGTGAAACAAGACTTTCATTCGAGTTCTTCTGGAATCCAATTCTTCTACTTTTTCTAGGGTAACAAACTTGGAAATATTTGCTCTAATGAGGTATTTCTCATCCTCAGCCACTTTAAGAGGTGTGGACTTCAACTCCCAGAATTCCC